TTCTTCTTCGTATTTAATATTTGTAATTTCTCAAAAAAAATTAATATCTTTAAGGAATAACATATATTGTCAATAATTGTATTAAATGTAGATGTGCGTCTAGATGCACTCCACTTTTTGTTTTGTTAGTGAATAGGTTAGAGGATCAATTAGAAATTTAATATATTAGAATATCTATCATTTACGTTGTCTATTCTCTCTTTCATTTATTACAAAAGAATATTGCGCGGAGGACACGTATTCTATTATTTTTGGTATGTTGAAAGGGAAGATTTTTTAAAGGTAAGCACATGTAACATTTATCTATTTCATGTGTTTTGGAGTGTCTTGAACTGATTGGTATCGTAATTTTTTGTTTCAAAGTAAGATTCCCCTTCACATCCCTCAACGACTTTGTCTATGGTTAGGAATGTTACAAAAATGGTGTAAATTTTTCGAATTGTATCATTTTTAAGGGAATAACTAACCCATGACGCCAAGGAATGAGAGTTATTATCGAATGATGGATTTAGAATATAATTCGTTGTTGCATGACGACAAAGAAATGGAAATATTTTATGCATGACGACATGTAAAGGGAAATATCTTACACATGATTTCTGTGTAACCCTTTATCCTATGGTCTGAGAAGTTATGTTATTTATATGTAACCCTTCATCCGATGGCTTCTTTTCATTATTTCTAATAACTTTCGCAAGCATAAGATTCTAATTTCACTATATAGGAGAATCTGAACTCAAGGTACACGTGAAGACGCATATGTTGTTACAAAAAACGAGGCATATCTTGTCCTTGTTATTAATTTAAATAATTGCAATGAAAAATAAAATTATGGTGGTTTTGACTGTAATGTTACATTTTTCAGGAATATAACGCTATGAAGTTTCAAATATGTACGCTTCCGGGAATGTATTTCATTTCATTAAATAATTGTGCATTATGAGTTGGTCTAATTTACTATTATGTGAAAATAATATTAATCTATATTTATTTATTTTCTGAGAATACATATTTTATGGGATTTGGTGCCTGACGGCGATGGATTCAAAGTATGTATTGACATATATAACAAAGCAAATAAAAATCAGCTGAAAAATTAAATGAAACTAGAAGATATGCCTGCCAGCATGATAAAGGGATATGATGAAGATATGGACAAAATATTACAAGACCAGGTTAACCTATGGCTGCAAAAGCACAGTCAAAATTACAGGTAAAGAGATGCAAATTTATCTTGAGGTATTATTACTTCCAACCTTTTATTAATTTATCTCCTTTTTCATTTTAGGTTAGTTACAATTGGAACCAAAGTAAAGCTATGTAATATATACAAATTTAGATTGAGGTAAAATTTAGTATTATAATATTTTTATAAAAATTATTTCTAACAAGTGTATTAATAACAAGTATTAATTAAGTAGAGGCATGGATGTTCCCGAACAAGGACAACCCTACTTTCAAGAATAAAAAATGACATTGTTAAATATAATTAAAGAAAAGAGTCTACGCATAGGTGAAAAAGGGAGAGACATAAATGGACGTGGAGTAGGCGACTTCTACACAATTGGTGAGACAGAGACATGTTGTGTTCAGGTATAATTTTATATTTTAAATTAGTTTTCTTCTTCGTATTTAATATTTGTAATTTCTCAAAAAATTTAATATCTTTAAGGAATAACATATATTGTCAATAATTGTATTTAATGTAGATGTGCGTCTACATGCACTCCACTTTTTGTTTTGTTGTGAGTAGGTTAGAGGATCAATTAGAAATTTAATATATTAGAATATCTATCATTTACTTTGTCTATTCTCTCTTTCATTTATTAGAAAAGAATATTGCGTGTAGGACACGTATTCTATTATTTTTGGTATGTTGAAAGAGGAGATTTTTCAAAGGTAATCAAGTCTAACTTTTATCTATTTCATGTGTTTTGGAGTGTCTTGAACTGTTTGGTATCATAATTTTTTGTTTCAAAGTAAGATTTCCCTTAACATCCCTCAACGCCTTTGTGTATGGTAAGGTATGTTACAAAAAGGTGTAAATTTTTTGGATTGTATCATTTTTATGGGAATATCTAACGCGTGACGCCAAGGAAGGAGAGTTATTATTGAATGATGGATTTTGAATATAATTCGTTGTTGCATGACGATGAATGATGGATTTAGAATATAATTCATTGTTGCATGACGACAAAGAAATGGAAATATCTTATGCATGACGACATGTAAAGGGAAATATCTTACACATGATTTCTGTGTAACCCTTTATCCTATGGTCTGAGAAGTTATGTTATTTATATGTAACCCTTCATCCGATGGCTTCTTTTCATTATTTCTAATAACTTTCGCAAGTATAAGATTGTAATTTCACTATATAGGAGAATCTGAACTCAAGGTACACGTGAAGACGCATATGTTGTTACAACAAACGAGGCATATCTTGTCCTTGTTATTATTTTAAATAATTGCAATGAAAAATAAAATTATGGTGGTTTTGACTGTAATGTTACATTTTTCAGGAATATAACGCTATGAAGTTTCAAATATGTACGCTTCCGGGAATGTATTTCATTTGATTAAATAATTGTGCATTATGAGTTGGTCTAATTTACTATTATGTCAAAATAATATTAATCTATATTTATTTATTTTCTGAGAATACATATTTTATGGGATTTGGTGCCTGACGGCGATGGATTCAAAGCATGTATTGACATATATAACAAGGCAAATAAAAATGAGCTGAAAAATTAAATGAAACTAGAACATATGCCTGCAAACATGATAAAGGGATATGATGAAGATATGGATAAAATATTACAAGACCAGGTTAACCATTGGCTGCAAAAGCACAGTCAAAATTACAGGTAAAGAGATGCAAATTTATCTTGAGGTATTATTACTTCCAACCTTTTATTAATTGATCTCCTTTTTCATTGTAGGTTAGTTAGAATTGGAACCAAAGTAAAGCTATGTAATATATACAAAATTAGATTGAGGTACAATTTAATATTATAATATTTTTATAAAAATTATTTCTAACAAGTGTATTAATAACAAGTATTAATTAAGCAGAGGCATGGATGTTCCTGAACAAGGACAACCCTACTTTCAAGAATAAAAAATGACATTGTTAAATATAATTAAAGAAAAGAGTCTACGCATAGGTGAAAAAGGGAGAGACATAAATGGACGTGGAGTAGGAGACTTCTACACAATTGGTGAGACAGAGACATGTTGTGTTCAGGTATAATTTTATATTTTAAATTAGTTTTCTTCTTCGTATTTAATATTTGTAATTTCTCAAAAAATTTAATATCTTTAAGGAATAACATATATTGTCAATAATTGTATTAAATGTAGATGTGCGTCTAGATGCACTCCACTTTTTGTTTTGTTAGTGAGTAGGTTAGAGGATCAATTAGAAATTTAATATATTAGAATATCTATCATTTACTTTGTCTTTTCTCTCTTTCATTTATTAGAAAAGAGACACGTATTCTATTATTTTTGGTATGTTGAAAGGGGAGATTTTTCAAAGGTAATCACGTCTAACTTTTATCTATTTCATGTATTTTGGAGTGTCTTGAACTGATTGGTATCATAATTTTTTGTTTCAAAGTAAGATTTCCCTTCACATCCCTCAACGCCTTTGTGTATGGTAAGGTATGTTACAAAAAAGGTGTAAATTTTTCGGATTGTATCATTTTTATGGGAATATGTAACGCATGACGCCAAGGAAGGAGAGTTATTATCGAATGATGGATTTTGAATATAATTCGTTGTTGCATGACGATGAATGATGGATTTAGAATATAATTCATTGTTGCATGACGACAAAGAAATGGAAATATCTTATGCATGACGACATGTAAAGGGAAATATCTTACACATGATTTCTGTGTAACCCTTTATCCTATGGTTTGAGAAGTTATGTTATTTATATGTAACCCTTCATCCCATGGCTTCTTTTCATTATTTCTAATAATTTTCGCAAGCATATGATTGTAATTTCACTATATAGGAGAATCTGAACTCAAGGTACACGTGAAGACGCATATGTTGTTACAACAAACGAGGCATATGTTTTCCTTGTTATTAATTTAAATAATTGCAGTGAAAAATAAAATTATGGTGGTTTTGAATGTAATGTTACATTTTTCAGGAATATAATATAACAACCCTCAATAGTAAATTAAGAGAAATGAATTAATTAGGTGGTTAACTAGATTAAATACTTATTCAATGAAATTGTGGGAGTTAAATTAATAGACTCATATGAAAAATAGTAAGAGAATATAGTTCATGTCATACAAGTCTAATAGGACTCAAATATAATTATTAGATATAATTAAGAACATAAATATTTATATGGAGTAAGTTTGGGTTTACCTTGGTAATTAGGCCTAAATATAATTTAGGTTGAATAATTAATTAGTTTAGAGAAATTAGTAAGCTCAAAGTATCTTTAAATGATTTAAATGATTTAAATGATACTTGGATTAATTGTTAAAATTAAGGAAAAGATGGATTAATTATTAAGCAATAAGATGAGTTTTGATTAGTAAAATGTCAAACAAAATTATTAGTCTTAATTATTTAAGTTGCAATGTTATGTCTTCTTTAAATTGCCATGTACGTAACTTTAGTAAGAAAGATGAGGAAATTTGATAGAATTGAACCAATAAATATTTAAGATGATACTTGATTAGTCAAATGAAGAATTAAAGAACCAATAGTATTTAATGTTGACAAATCTATATTTGATGGAATTGAGTACTTTATCACCAAGTTTCATTAAAAGTCATTCACCAAATTGTTGTACGCTGCTTCATGAAGTTTTTATGCCTTCCTTCCTTTCTTATCACTTATGTGGGCCGTAGAGTTTAAGAAGAAAGCAACAAGCAAGTAGTTTGGTTGTTTAAACCAATGAGAAAGACATGTTGTCAAAAAAATAAATAAATAAATAAACTAAGACTACTTGGCTTCAATTAGGCGGTCCCTTCTCTTCCTTTCTTTTTTTTCACGCTGCACTCCTCTTTCTTTCTTCTTCCTTAGTTCGTGAGCTTCAATGGAGAAAGGGCAAGAGAGAACTTGATGATTTGGTCACCATTTCATCTAGACTCCAACATAGAAAAGGTAGCTTAGCACCCCATCATTCTAACCCACCATTTTTCTAACTTTGGGAAGCTTTAAATCTCTTATTTTCTCCTCTGGACAGCAGCGCCTGCACATGGAAAGGAAGGAGAAAATGGATTGATTCCATAGTTCTAAGCTTAGGGAAGTCATCAATAGTTATTGGTTAGGCTATCTAAGGTATTAAACCTTCACTCCCTTGATTAAATTCTTAGAAATAATGATGATATTCATGATATAGGGCTGTTTATGATGATAATTTTGATGTTGGTTTAATGATGAATTTAAGTGGTTTTATTGATGTTTAAGTGGGTTAATGAGTTGTTGTGATGGATTGGTTTTCTATCCTACAAAAAGAAATTGAAATCACATAAGGGATGAGTTTAATGAACTCTATATGGTTCAGATTTTGGGTGCAAAGATGTGCACACCAAGTGTTTGTAATATTTCCTAAGTGAAATACATGAAATTGAGATGACAAATTAAAGGTTAAAGTGATAGAAAAATTGAAAGAGAATTCATTAAACCTTGAGCTAGGCAAATCGGTCATCATGTGATAAAAATAGTTAAAGGATGTGTTTAATCAAGTTGTATGTGGAAATGTAAGTGTAATATGATTTAGAGTTGGTTTGTAAAAAGAATGAAGTATAGGAATTTCAAAAGAACTTTATGGACCTTTTAGGATCAACATAGGGGCTGTTATGTTTAAAAATTCATATCTGAAGCTACAAGACTTCAAATGGATTGTGGTTTGCGCCAAATTAAATCCTTAAGTGTCTACTATAACATATCCAAAATTCAGGTGAATCGGAGTTAAGATGAATTTTTCGTGATTAAAATGGCACAGGATGTTGATGCTGTAAAAAATGTGTGTATTTCGGCCCTTTAGAATTAATTGTGCAAATTAAGTGTTTAATTCATTGGTTATGTAAAACAATGATCCTTAGGACATTTAATGATGATTGGCTAGTATTTGAACCAAACATAAAGTGTGAAATCTTAATTAAGTCTAGGATGTAGACTATGTTTATGTTAGAGTTTTGATGAAAAAGTTATGTAATAGTTTATATAAGACTACTTAGTGATCAAACAAGGAATTAACTAAGATGAAATGGTAAATCCATGAGTATATGTATATGTAACTATTCGACCAATATGTATTAAATGGCTAAGGAAATTGATGTTAGTTTTATGTCAAGTTAATGGAATAATAGTGTATGAATGCTTTCACAAGAATTAAGCTAATTAGTTAAACATGACAACCAAAAGAATTGTATATGTGTTTATATATAGAGTTCGGCCATAAAGGAATAATGGGCATAGATTATGTGTTTTCAATTCAAGTGATTGATTTATAGCATTTTCCTAGAATAAGTAAGTATGATTCAAATGGTTTAAGATACGTGAAGCTTTGTTAAAAGTGTATGAAATGTTAACTATAAATTAGTAAATTAATTAACTAATTGAGACTCTAAGTCATGAAGTATAAATTAAGTTGTAAACTTATGGGATGGCATGAACTGTCAAGGGAAATGAAGTTGTCAAGTTGGTTATGAAATTAACATATGAATATAATTATTCGGATTTCAAGTAATGTATGTTTCATTGGAAATTAATGGTACTTTTATATGTACGGTAACAGAGTGTAATCAGATGAAGTAGGTGGACGAACAACTTGTAGACAACCAAGTGTACGGGTTATTAAATAGCAAGTTAGCAGCAGGAAAGAGACGACAGGTAAGCTTTCGGTTAGGAGTTTTCTCAGCCTTTTTGTTCCGCCATGATCAGTGGCGATTATGGTTTCCGTATGGATATAATTGTTGTTAATATTGATACTTTGCGTAGTTGCATTCATATAGTGCATGCATATGATATTATTTATGTTATGATAAGTTAATATGATATGATCTTCAATGAAATAAAGCCTTGGAAGTGTAAGTTATGGTTTCTGAACAGAGGAAACAATTATGGATATGATCACGGTATACATAAGGTATAGCCGATAATACTTTAGTTCTCTAATCATTATGAGTATGCTATTGAATATGATACGACATTACAAATATAAGATGGAAGCCTTATTCATACATAAGACATGAACATACTTAAGATTAATAAGAAAGTACATTATAAGAATAAATGAGAATTATTAGAAAAGATATATGATACAGAAATTCTAATATGGATTATATGGTGTTATCTATGTCTTGGTACTTGATATTTTCTTGCAGGAAGTGGACTCTTGGGTGGAGACTGCTCCATAAACCCCAAGTTTATTGAGATTCATTCTCACCCCGCGTTATGGGGATATATTTCAGGTATCGCAGCAGTTGACGATCGTTCTCGGGGCAAGAGGCCCGTGGTTGATGAGTAGATCTGAGCATAGATGTTGCCTGCTTATTTTGGGAGTCTGTTGTATATATTGTGACACTGTGATGTATTATGTTTATGTAGGTTGATGTAGGATGTTGTAGTTATGGCACAGAGTCACCTTTTTGATATGATATATATAGAGTTATGGATCATGTATGTATACTACTGTATATGATATGGAATTGTTGTATATTGTGGGTTGTAAGAGCCCCAAGGCATTGCTGGTCCTTGTGTGTGCCACCCATTGGATTATTAGGTATATTTGTGGTATTAGCAAGCTTATGTAAATTTGGGGATTTAAGGAAAAACAAAGGAAACTCTGGCGAATTTTCTGTAGAATTGGCAGATTTTAGGTGAACTTCGGGAGAGCATATCTCCCTCCATAGAGGTCCGATAGGGACGTGCCATACGCCGTTTTGAAGCTTGAGATCCCCTACATTGTGTAAAAATATTAGAATTTTATAGGTTGTGCGCAGCCCTGTGGAAGTCAGTGAACACAACTGCCCTGTTTTGCCCTGCACTTGGGGGCTGTTTTGGTCCAGTTTTGGGAATTTTATTCCTGCTTCATTTCTTGGTCAAATTAAGCGTATGATATATCAAATCGAAGATTGAGGTGTCTAGTTTGTAGAATAAAAATTTGAGAGCAATTGGATGAGTGAATTTTCTGCAGTAATTCGAGGAGTGAGAGAGGTTTTGAGCTGTTTTGGGGTTGGTTGGCTGTTTTGCTTATCCAACTTCAAACGGCGATATCCGGAGCAAACGTGCTCCGATCATAGCGTGTGATAGCTTTTTAGAAAGGGAATTAAGTAAGAAAAAAATATAACCTGAGTGGAAGGTCTGAATTTTTGTGGTGCATTCGCAGTAATTTAATTAGTGAACCATGTTCGGGTAAGTAAAAACGTAAAAGTTAGTAATTGGCTAAGTGGGTTTATGGGAACCCCTTAGTAACTTATGATAAGTAAAATAAGACATAGAAGTAGTTTAAATAAGTATTCCGCAAGATTTTACAGTTACGGTCACAGGTTTTAATTATTACGCTTTTATTGTTTTAAATGCTCGCGTAATAATCGTAAAAAATTTATTCGCATTTTTATAAATGAATTGCTGTGATTCTAACTGCGCTTAATATCAAATTAATGTTAACAATACCGGTGTACAACGGGCTGTTACACCTGCAAACATGATAAAGGGATATGATGAAGATATGGATAAAATATTACAAGACCAGGTTAACCATTGGCTGCAAAAGCACAGTCAAAATTACAGGTAAAGAGATGCAAATTTATCTTGAGGTATTATTACTTCCAACCTTTTATTAATTGATCTCCTTTTTCATTGTAGGTTAGTTAGAATTGGAACCAAAGTAAAGCTATGTAATATATACAAATTTAGATTGAGGTACAATTTAGTATTATAATATTTTTATAAAAATTATTTCTAACAAGTGTATTAATAACAAGTATTAATTAAGCAGAGGCATGGATGTTCCTGAACAAGGACAACCCTACTTTCAAGAATAAAAAATGACATTGTTAAATATAATTAAAGAAAAGAGTCTACGCATAGGTGAAAAAGGGAGAGACATAAATGGACGTGGAGTAGGAGACTTCTACACAATTGGTGAGACAGAGACATGTTGTGTTCAGGTATAATTTTATATTTTAAATTAGTTTTCTTCTTCGTATTTAATATTTGTAATTTCTCAAAAAATTTAATATCTTTAAGGAATAACATATATTGTCAATAATTGTATTAAATGTAGATGTGCGTCTAGATGCACTCCACTTTTTGTTTTGTTAGTGAGTAGGTTAGAGGATCAGTTAGAATTTTAATATATTAGGATATGTATCATTTATTAGGAAAGAATATTGCGTGGAGGACACGTATTCTATTATTTTTGGTATGTTGAAAGGGAAGATTTTTCAAAGGTAAGCACGTCTAACTTTTATCTATTTCATGTGTTTTGGAGTGTCTTGAACTGATTGGTATCATAATTTTTTGTTACAAAGTAAGATTTCCCTTCACATCCCTCATCGCCTTTGTGTATGGTAAGGCCTGTTACAAAAATGGTGTAAATTTTTCGTATTGTATCATTTTTATGGGAATATCTCACGCATGACGCCAAGGAAGGAGAGTTATTATTGAATGATGGATTTAGAATATAATTCGTTGTTGCATGATGACAAAGAAATGGAAATATCTTATGCATGACGACATGTAAAGGGAAATATCTTACACATGATTTCTGTGTAACCCTTTATCCTATGGTCTGAGAAGTTATGTTATTTATATGTAACCCTTCATCCCATGGCTTATTTTCATTATTTCTAATAATTTTCACAAGCATAAGATTTTAATTTCACTATATAGGAGAATCTGAACTCAAGGTACACGTGAAGATGCATATGTTGTTACAAAAAATGAGGCATATCGTGTCCTTGTTATTAATTTAAATAATTGCAATGAAAAATAAAATAATAGTGGTTTTGACTGTAATGTTACATTTTTCAGGAATATAACGCTATGAAGTTTCAAATATGTACGCTTCCGGGAATGTATTTCATTTGATTAAATAATTGTGCATTATGAGTTGGTCTAATTTACTATTATGTGAAAATAATATTAATCTAAATTTATTTATTTTCTGAGAATACATATTTTATGGGATTTGGTGCCTGACGGCGATGTATTCAAAGCATGTATTGACATAAATAACAAGGCAAATAAAAATAAGCTGAAAAATTAAATGAAACTAGAAGATATGCCTGCAAAACGTGATAAAGCGATATGATGAAGATATAGACAAAATAATGCAAGACCAGGTTAACCTTTGGCAGCAAAAGCACAATCAAAATTACAGGTAAAGAGATGCAAATTTATCTTGAGGTATTATTACTTCCAACCTTTTATTAATTGATCTCCTTTTTTATTTTAGGTTAGTTAGAATTGGAACAAAAGTAAAGCTATGTCAGATATACAAATTTAGATTGAGGTACAATTTAGTATTATAATATTTTTATAAAAATTATTTCTAACAAGTGTATTAATAACAAGTATTAAATAAGCAGTGGCGTGGATGCTCTCGAACAAGGACAACCCTCCTTTCAAGAATAAAAAATGACATTGTTAAATATAACTAAAGAAAAGAGCCTACGCGTAGAAGAAAAAGGGAGAGACATAAATGGACGTGTAGTAGGAGACTTCTACACAGTTGGTGAGACAGAGACATTTTGTGTTTAGGTATAATTTTATATTTTACATTAGTTTTCTTCTTCGTATTTAATATTTGTAATTTCTCAAAAAAATTAATATCTTTAAGGAATAACATATATTGTCAATAATTGTATTAAATGTAGATGTGCGTCTAGATGCACTCCACTTTTTGTTTTGTTAGTGAGTAGGTTAGAGGATCAATTAGAAATTTAATATATTAGAATATCTATCATTTACTTTGTCTATTCTCTCTTTCATTTATTAGAAAAGAATATTGCGTGGAGGACACGTATTCTATTATTTTTGGTATGTTGAAAGGGGAGATTTTTCAAAGGTAAGCACGTCTAACTTTTATCTATTTCATGATGTAAAGGGAAATATCTTACACATGATTTCTGTGTAACCCTTTATCCTATGGTCTGAGAATTTATGTTATTTATATGTAACCCTTCATCCCATGGCTTATTTTCATTATTTCTAATAATTTTCACAAGCATAAGATTGTAAT